TTGGATTAAATGTATACGTTGCTTCCCTTCTGGCACCCCTCATTTTTTTCTTTTTCTTTTTTTCTTTTCTATCTGCTGTCAGGTCAACAGTCTCCCTGTGAACTCATTCTTTGCACCATGTCCTGGACTGCATCAAAAGCAGAGTGGCCAGCAGGTCGAGAAGTGATTCTCCACCTCTCCTCTGCTCTTGTGAGACTCTTCCTGGAATTGTGTGTCCTGCTCTGGTGCCCCCAACATAAGAATGATGTGCACTTGTTGGAGTGAGTCCAGAGAAGAGCTGTGAAGATGATCAGAGGGCTGAGAGAGTTGGGGTTGTTCAGGCTGGACAAGAGAAGGCTCCAAGGACACCTTATAGCACCTTCCAGTGCCTAAAAAGGGCCTAGAAAAAGAAAGCGTGTGCAGATATGTGTGAAAGTTGTAGTTAGCACAAGACTAAGGAAGATTTTATTTGGCTTATCGGTTTATGTGGCAGGTAAGTCAAAGACCAGAAATATACTTTCCAGTATGTCGTTTAAAGTAATGGAACTGTATTAACACCATATTTACATAGTGATTTTATTATTCCAGTTGGATCAGAGCCTTTTAGTTTAACATAGCCCTCATAATTTAAGTATAGTTTTCTTATTAATTATTTAGCTGCAGATAAAATTATACATAAATTAATACATTTGAAACCACCGCTCAGAGGAGTAAGGGAGACTCATATACCCACTGGAGCATGATGAACATGACATAAGTGATCAGCTCACAGGCAGTGAACAGCATCTTTTGTGTTCCAAGACCTGGCATATGTGCCACAGGGAACGATGCAAAAGCAGAAGGAGAATGCAGTTATTTCAATCCTCTCTTTGCTTTTACCACACCTATCACAACATGACAACCTCCAGTATCAGAACTGGCTAGGCAGAGTCCACAATTCTGAAGCAATAAAAGCCAAGACATCTACCATGAAGTCTGATTTTTCTCTTAAAGCACTAATAATTGGGCATGCAATTAAGCTTATTTATTCCTGAATGAAACAAATGTGTAAAGAAGAAACTTTATACCCATTAGGTTCAAGATGTTATACTCAACTACTATACTGTCTGTGAACCACAGTTATTCCTCTAGTGTCCTGCAAATAGTCTGGGGGGCCTTTGTTGTTATTTTTGCTTCATACTTCCCTTGTCCCATGAGAATTGTCTTCTGCAGGGCTGCTGTGAACAAAGCATTGCAAATACTTAAAGCAAAGAAAGTGTCCTCCCTTTAAAAATGAATACCTTTCCTGCAGCTCCCAAGACTCTGGAGCTATGTCTGTGAGCCAAGCAGATAAACCTCTGCAAATTCCATCTGTCTCTAAAAATGACTGTCAACAGGTGAGGTCTGTCATAAACCCCCAACCTTTTTATTCTTTCACGCACTACCTCAGCTGACAGTGACAGCGTGGTTTTATCATGTACTTCCACAGAAAGTGGAAACTCATTCAGAAGAACAAAGTTTTAGAGGAAAACCGCCAAAACAAAGCATGTTCCAGAAAATTCAGGTTTGGACATGAGTAATAAATCCATTGCAACATCAAAGTGGGTGGGAAGAATGAGAAAGGGGTGGCACTGAGACAGATAAATTGCTGAAATAGACAGCTATGGAACCTGCCTTGGCAAACCTTCTGAGCTGCACATCCATCTGTTCCACATTAATCTCTCTCCACTGGGTTTTAGTCCAATCATCAATGCTGCTCTGAAACAGAAAGTACAGATAACAGCATCAACAACATTTGGTAAAGAAGAGCTTCTGGTACATAACAGATAAACTGATGCAGGGAAAAGCCCATCACACAGCAATAGCTCTTGGACCTTAATTTTTTTCCAAACCTATACCATCACTACCTAGAAAGCACATATAATAATCCATCTTCTGAAAATTCAACCCAGAGGCCAAGCATTTTACCAGTTTCACGCTTTCCTCAGTATCTGATACTATACTTAACCTTGTCTATGAAAAGCAATTTGTTGAGGGAAACAAAACTCTATAGACTGATTTCCCATACAGTTCTGTACACTGAATTTTCTGGACTCCTGCTTCTAACTTTGTAGGGCTTTTCAACATACAGTCCTCAGTTCTGAAGTGCAATTTTCTGGATTTCTGAATTTTTACTCAGTTGTTTTAATTATGCAAGCAAGTTATTGGTATTAAGAAATCTCTAAATGAAAATATGAAGTTTGTTTTGTTTTGGGAATATCTTGAAATTGATTGACTTGAGAACAGATACTTTTACTCTGGATATCCTAAAACATAGCAACTATTATTTCAAAAACAAAAGGAATATTAAAATCTTCTGCATTTTAAACTTGTTTTTTTAATCAAAACTGTAACACTTCTAAGATCAAATTAAAAGTTTAACATTAAAATATATTCTAAATTTGTAAATAATTTTAAGAAAAATATTAATATCTACACGAAAATCTTCTATTAATATCAACGTGAATATCCCAAACTTTTTTGAGAGACTGCACTTTTCAACATGGTTTCATGTGCTTGTAGCCTGGAATAGTTACTTCAAATAGTTTTGCAGGTAGATTCCTGCATTAGTAACATTTCTCTTTCCAGTATCTCAAGCTCTTGATTTGCCTTGAAGAGGAAAAGAGCACTCAAAATACAGTTGTAGAGTACATTGAGCTTAGGTAAACCTGTCAGTGAAATCTATAGATCCTGTATATATGATTCAATAAGAAAAGCTGAGAGAATTATTGCAGAGAGGTTATAAAAAGCTGTATTTGCATTGCCCCTGAAAGCTCCCAAAAGCATAAAAAAGTCTTTGCATTTGAAGCATAAAAGAAAAACTGCATAGAAAGCAGTTAATTTATACTCTTGTAATAAATCTCTGAACTTATTAAACCACTTCTTAAAGTTGTATAAATGTTTACAAAGTCCCTTCATGCTGTTTTAAAAAAGATCCACTAAATAGTCGACTTTAGGAAGGAACATGAGAAAGTATTCTGACTTTTTAAAGTTTTAGGAAGCATATGCAATATGAGAAGAGAAACAAGAAACCTGAATTTGGTGGCATTAGAATTATACCAGCTTCTTGAAAAAAAATCCCCAAACCAACCAACAAACAAACAAAAAACCCCCATAAAACAGTAAACCGAAAAAACCCTCCAAAACAAACAACCCCCCAAACCCCTGCTATCCCCCCCAAAAAACCCATGCAAACCACAAATATTTAATGTGTACATTGAAATATCATTAAATATCATACCGAAAAATTACAAGCAAATATGTTTTTCTGAGATTACTCATCACCTTCTTGAGATGAGCATATGGATTTTCTACATCAAACTCAAAGGGAACTTCCATTTTAAATCTTTCTCTGAATTCCACCTGCTTCCTTGATAAAGCACAGGTAATGACACTTGTCACTAAACATGTTCTTATTTAAAAAAAATGAGACAAAAAAGACTGATCCCGCAATTCAGTGTACATCAAGTAAAGTGCATTTTCTTCTGATTAACTGCAACATCAGATGCCTGAAAAGGAGTTAGTTTGTACTTGGCCGACACAGCTCTCTTCCTAAGAATATTCAATTCTTCAGGTAATTCCTATTTAACAGAGTAACATTTTCCTAAAGCAAAAAATACCACACATGACAGAAATACATCAGTAAAATCTGTATATTAACAGTAAGGATACTCCAATATGTGCTTATGAATAAGAAATTACAGTGGATAAATTATTTAACCACAAGTGTACTCTATGCCATAGCTTGTACTAGAACCTTTGTCAACTGTAAAAGAATTGATTTTATGGATCATTGGTAATTATAAACTACTTGAACTTGATGAATGTAGTTATTTTATGTATAATCACATAAAACTTCATTTAAATTATCTTCCACACAGTAAAACAGAGAGTTCTACTCCTGCTTTAACACATTTTCAAGTATATAAAGATGACCTGGAAATACCTTTCTCATTCTCCCCAGGATGTCTAGAAAAAATATTCAGTAAGCCATGTGAAAAAAATTCCAACAGGATGAAAAAAATACCTTGACAGGTGGTTTTTGTTCATATGAAAAATACAAGAAAGAGAAGCTTGAATTCAAATCACTTCAGATTAAGTAAAAAACCAGTTTAACGAACATGTCAAAAATCCTACCAAAAAATACTAGACCAGATCAACTCAGAAATAGAAATTCCACTGTGGACAGGAAGCTCACTGAAACTGGGGAGGAGTTATAATTTTGACTAATTAGATTATTTGATGAAAAACATTAGTTTAATTGCTATCCAATTAATTCTACCCAATTCTATTTAACAGTATTTACGGTGTAGTGCATCTCCCAAAACAGACCAAATAAGGGTCTCTCACATGCAGGTGCTACTCTGGAAGCCATAGCTTAAAAAGCTCTTCTTTTAGTGTCAGTAGAAACCACTACAACTGTAGTGCTTTCCCATCTATTCTTACCACTGAGTTTTGCTTAATTCATGTAATTCCCTCAAATTTTGCTTGGCAGTCAAAATAATTATAACTGGAATGGGTGTGGGACAGAATATATAGAGAAACAAGTGACCAAGGATGTCTGTAAGACAGCACCACATGGCAACGATCAAATCCTACCTTTTGTATTTATATATGAACAGAGTCCCAAACTACTGATAACTGTGTTATGGATGGCAAAGCAACATAGGAAATACACTCACTGGAGTTCCTCCTATATGGTTCAGATTCTGGAAGGATGTTTATCAATGTGAACATGATTTGGTCATTATTAAGAAAAGAAAATGGCAAAAAATAACTGTGGACCTCATCAGAACAAAACATAGCATCACTTTTTGAACTGATTTTCCATCATTCACATAAACCAAGTTTTTAAAAAACAAAAGAAAAACTACCTGGTTTTATTGCTGGCAGTTGAGAAGAAACAAGGAGAATGGAATTATTTACATCCCTGAGAATAAATACTGCTATTATAGGATCATATACACATAAGTAAATATGAAATACTATTTTTGCTACAGTACCTCCAACTGGGCACAAATGTCACCTGTCATCTTCTGTCCATAGCTTTCTAGTAGTGCAGCCATCTCTTTTAAAGGTTCAAAGAGTTTGTCAGCAGTTGTCTGCCTGTCTTTCATAGCCAGGAGATGGCCCATGATTGCTAACAGCATACAATAATCTCTCTTGCTCACCTCTCTTTGGAGTCCAGCATCTGTCACTTTTATAAATTCTTCTAATTCAGTTAGATTACCAAAGAGAGACAGGTATGATGATAGAGAAAACTTTCCTTACTGTGGTGAATAAAAATGTAGTAAGCCCTACCTACAGTGTTATACAAAATAAAAATAGTTATTTATAAAATAAAACAAATATAGTTTTACTAAATCATTTTAAGATTGTCTGGGCCTGATTTCCAGAGGTGGTAAGTGCTACAATGGAGAATTAACCCTACAGGATACACATGTACAATATCTGGAAAGCAGAAAAAAAACCAATCCAAAAGACTGAAAAAAACCCCACTAAGAAAATAAAATTTTAAATCTGCAAACCCAGCTCATTAAGGGACTACATGTAAAAAGTCCCCAAGCTTATAGTTAGTCCTTTAGTGCATTTAAAGATGCATGCACATACACACTCCATTTTACCCAACTGATAAATCTCAGCAGACACTCCTTAAACCATCCAGCTCCATTTCTTAATAATGTTTAGCAAGCTTGTTTTGAAAGGCTTTGTATCCACTTTAAACCAACTGTCCAAAATTTTGAGTCCGCAGAGTTACTTATCTGAAAATAAAGGTTTTCACAGGTGTCAATCTAGAACAGAAGAGAGAGAAATAAATACCTATACTCCTCCATCCCTGCCCCCAACCCCCCACTAAATAGCCAGTTACTAAGACTAATTGTTTTATTGTCTGCTCTTCAAAAACTTTAATAGTGTGAGGCTGTTGAGAGACTTTGTCAGTAAGAAGTATCTTTGTGGATAAACCATGCTAAACCATGACCACAGAGAAGGAATTGCTTCATAAACTCAGACCAGTTCTCCAGCCAGAGAGATGCATGGTCAAGAGATCTTCGTTATCCCAGGACTTTGTTAGTAACATTTGCCACTCTATCCATTATTGCCTGCCTGATTTCAGACAGATCAAACATGTTGTCAATAACATTTTAGGCATCAAACAAAAATTTTGTTATTTCAGTGAGACAGTAATACCAATTGGTCAAATTTACATGCAGATGAAAGACTGGAATTCCATCCCTTTTCCCAGGGATCTTTTAACAGAAGAACTGTCGTTCACTCATCTGTTCCTATTTTGGGTTTATATTTCGTTATATGAACATAAAGTTAACTGAATCCTTTTCAAGTTATTCAAACCTGAACTTTACATGGACTACATACAATTCTCACTGCCAGTTTAATGGATGGTCCCTTACTTGTCTAAGAGATTACGTTTCCACTATGTGCAGATTTAGACACTTCAGCATGGCCCCAAGGTGGATGCACAGGAACCAAGAGATAAATATTCAGCTAATCTCAAATAGCATTAGAATTAGAACCAAGCACTGAAACAGGCTGCCCAGGGAAGTGGTGGAGTCACCATCCCTGGAGGTATTTAAAAGGTGTGTAGATGTGGCACTTGGGGACACAGCTTAGTGGTGGACTTGGCCGTGCAGGGTTAGTCCTTGGACTTGATGGTCTTTTCCAAGCTAAATGATTCTACAGTTCTCTGTTGGACTTCATGGTCTTAGAGGTCTTTTCCAACCTGAATGATTGTATGAGTCTACGAAAATAACTAAGAACTTAAGCTATTAAGATTTATTCATACCCTAGAACATTATTGTCATTTTTTGAATATGAAGTCAAAGACAAACATCAGCTACAGATTTAGTTGCAATTATAAGTACATAACTTTGGATCAAAATTCACAGTCAGGAGGCTGTTTTGAGGATTAGGTTTAATTAGATTTTGGTCTAAATTAAACCAACAAATTTCATTCACCTCAACAGACTGTTTACAGTAGGTCTGATCTTTGTATTGGTCAAGGGATTTCAACTCCTCCATATATTTCTGCGAAATAAAGGTTTCTGGACTTTCTAAGAATCGGCAAGGAAAAAAACCCATACCTAACCAATTTTTTTCTTTTATTGATAGCAACTTATGAACAAATTCTTGTGAAAAGTTTTAGCCGCCCATATTTTTCATTTTTAGATGAAGTTCTGTGTATGCTGTCCATCTTTAAGCTATCCATAGCTTTACTAAGTTGAACTAGAGTGGAAAAGATGCATAAAGCAAGAAGTGAGAACACTAGACAAAATTAAAACTTGGGGGAAAAAGATGGCCATGTCCCCCTTACATGTTATTAGCTATGTCAGTTTTCAACAGTTGGAACTGTTATTACTCAAAAATTTAATTTACGTGTGTCTAAACCTCTCACAGGAATTTCCATCCTTTGTGCTCCCAACTAAAAGCATGTTTGCTGAAGGATCAGGACAAGAGGAAGGGACGGGGCATAATTTTCAAATAACTTGCATGACTAGGTCCCCCATAAGTATCTTTGAAGGTCTTGACCCTATAGAGCAATAACACTGTTTATGTTGTCCCATGAGAAGTTGGACCAAAATGCCTGTATTCGTTCCTTCAATTCTTTAGACCTTTTAAGGTTTCCCATAGTAACTGGCATATTTTTGTTAATTATTTAATTCTCTCCCCCCACTTATTAGAATAGAAATTAAGCCATTATGAACCTACAAGAAAATAATATTTTATTTTTGGAATGTTTAATACCTTTTTAATGTGTTCATCACATACACATCTGCAGTTATCCAGTTTTTCACCAAATATTTTCAGTGAAATACTGCAATTTGGGCTAAATATCTCCACAATGACAGGTTTTTTTAGAAAGCTTCCAAGATGGTTAAAAGTTTGAAAAGAAAATAAAAAGAAAAAAAATGCCCAAACAGCAAAGTAAGCATTGGAGTTCTCTTTCTGTAACTCTTAACTTGAAATCTCATCCAAAATGTTTCTGAAGTACAAGGATTGGAACCATACCAAGCTATACTGTTGACATGTGTCATGTGCTAATCAATAGACCACATATTTTCAAATACGCTCTTAAATTGTGCACAACATATGAATTTTAGAATGCCAAAGAATGACAGATTAGCTCAGATCCTAGGAAATATGGAACTAGGCTTTCCAGATCCAGGCATATACCCCACACTCTAGATACTTTCGAAATCACAGAATACTTTAAGTTGGAAGGGACCCACAAGGATCAGAGTCCAATTCTTATGTGAAATCCTACCCTGCATTTTTCTAACTTGTGTGTTTTCTCACTTTTTTTCCAGATATATCCTCTCTCATAAGTAACTATCTTCTCCCCCTTTAAGTCTCATACAAATTCAAAGTCTTAATTGTAAGTTAATGTTTTCTGGAGGAAGAAAAAGCCTACTGCTGTAAAAGATTACAAAAAAAGTGTCAAGCAGAAATTATTTCTCTAAGGATAAGTTGCCTTCCATTCTCACTGTCATGTTTAAAGTTAAGATAAGCTGTCTGCCTTTTGAAAGAGTAGATGTAATCAATGAGAAAATAAGTTTGGAAAGAAACAGGGTAAACATTAAATGCAAGACACTCATTTGATTGCTAACAATGCCAAAAGTGGCAACCTAAGGAAAATTAATTTACTCAAAATTAGTAGCTAAATATTCATTATTACTGCCACAATTAATTTGCAATACTTTACCACAGTTTGAGTGTGATGTATGCACTGTCTTAAAAATGTATGTCTAAAAGAGAATTCAAGTGAAATTATTCCACCTCCCTGCCCCAAGATGAGGTTTGCTATATCTATGCCGTTTGCAAGAGAGGTTTTTCTAGCCCTCCCTGAAAGATTTTTCAGTAATGAAGTGCCTGTCACCTCCCTTAGAAATCTGTTCCAGCAATTCATTATGCTTGGCATAAAGTGGTTTTCCCAGTCACCAGACTTGAACTTTATGCACTTTAAATTAAGTTCATTATGTTCTGGATGTAGAGAATAGACTATTTCCTTCCTGTATGCAGAAGTCTTTCATGTATTTGAAGATTTATGCCTGTTCTCTCTTTTCCTCTTCAACCCCAATGACTATCAACAGATCCTCTTTCCTGAAGTGCAGTGCTTATACTCAGCACAATACTCCACTAGAGGCCTCATCAAGGGTGATTGAAACGGGAGATTTCTCCTTATGCCTTTCAGGACAACCACCCATTTGAACATTTACATACTTACCTCTTTCTTAAAAGCACGACTTCATTTACTCATGGTCTACATATGACGACTCCTAAATCATATTTTGAAGAACTGTTTTTAATAAGTTATTTCCTATCTTACATTTTAATTAGTCCTGGTTTAGAATAAAACATACCACTGTAGAAAAATGCTTCAACTACCCAGGCTAACTATATGCTACACTGGATGAGAGCCTGGACGTATCTGTCATCCATGGGTATTCTGTGCCTCATGCAGACAAGTGCAAAATACAGGATGTTAGTGAGCTGAAAATCTCTGTTTCTTTGAATTACATTTTAGATCTGGCCTCAGCTATGAGTTAACTTCTGGAAAGAACCTGTATTGTTCAGATCATCATTAAAGTGAGCATAGAATCAGAGAACAGTTTGATTCCCAGCTGAAATACTGTAAGTCAGTGTTCCAAGGCATTCAGTTCACAAATAGCTTAACTAAAGTATAATTTAAGCAATGCATAAAACTGTTCTCCTAATAATAAATTAACAGTTTTAAGTGTATGTGTACTGACTTTGAACATGAATTCTAAACTAGAACAGTTAAGAAATCCTACACAAAGAACCAAGGCAAAACATCTGCCAAGATCCAGGATTTTGGCTTTAAATTCATTATAACTCCAAACTCCTGTAATGTTAGGGGAAAAAAAGGTATAAAATACATGTCTTTACAATGGGAGGAAAATCTATTAGGTGGCACATGTTAGTGCTAAACACATAGCTCACCTCTGTCCCTGAACAAACTTCCAAGATTTTTCAGTACTATTTTAACTGATGAGCAATGATCAATGTTATTAAAAGTGATACTTGGTTTTTGTTCTTTTTTTTACAGAAACTGAGTTAGGAACTGGAGTGTTGGTTTAGCAATAGAGATTAAATATTA